TCTTAGCATGTAGAAAAAATTACCACCCAAATGAAATGAGAATATGAATTGAAGAGTTATTTATGGCAGACTGTTTTACATACCTCATCAACAAGAAAAAAGCAAGGCGAAGACCCCATGCTACTACAAGCAAAGACAGAACAACCTGCAGAAATAGAACCATAAATTCATTTGTCGGCAAACCGTTTTACACCAATGATTCAAGTAAAAATTTTCAATTATTGAACACCAGCTTCTTACCATAGAACCTTCACACAAAGAAATCCAATTATAAAGTATAAGAAATTTGAGGAAAAACCAAGTTCGGAGATTGCAAGAAGAGAACAGGAAAACACGAGCAGCTTTTAAAGACACAATGCCGACAATTAAGTAAGCCCAAAAGGAATTCCTAGATGTTTCCTTTAGTAACATGGTAAATTAAAAAGTGTATGATTAAACCCAAGGCCCTGTTGTTTTCACATATTATGAAACCATGAGTGGCACTATTACACCGGGCAAGTTGTTTCATAATTGTTCTCAGGCTACAAAACTTGACAATATTGAACGAGTTGCAACATGGATTCGGCAGCAACACAATAAAAATTGTACATGTAGTGATATAAGACGTATTTACAGAATCAAACGGCATTACCTGTCTGAAATGCCAGCTGCCCTTAAGAACTAGAGTCAAAACAGCTAGTATGACAAAATTCGTGCTACCTGCAAAACACGAATTTCATAAATTGACATCAAAATTAAACGGTAGCATTTCCAGCTATTCTTTGTCCCTCTATTACTCAGCAGAACTTGTAATCAGTGACAAAATACCTGCAAAATCGGTGACCTTGTCAAACTTGAGAAGAGCTGTGATTGCAAAGAACAGTAGTTGATACCCAATCTGAAAATCACAAAAGAAGTGTCAGCTAGTAAATAACGTTCCAGATAAATTGATGGGGGAGTTAGAAACTGAGAGAACCAGCAAATCTTACAGTGACGATGGCAGTGAGCGCCAAGAAATGGGAATCGATCACAGTTCCCATGAAGCTGTCGATGATGATACACTCTCAATTTCAGTTTTTCCTGTGAGAACTAGATTCTCATCTTCTTAAATAACAATTTAGTAATCCGAGAAGTCAAATATTGTTTCTGGCCAGGATTCGAACAGCACGACGATTGTATTAATCAATACTTTGTGGTTGTTTCGGCATCTTCCCTCCGTCTCCCGCTTTTTCCCGGGCCGGACTTTTCAAGCAAAGCCTCGATAGTACTGTTTTTCCTTCTTTCCATACTAATTTCCGTGAAGGTTCCAATTTAGGCTCTAATTGTTTGGATATTTTTTCAGCGTAAAATGTAAATCGATTACAAAGTTTTCATTTAATCCTTTTATATTTTAGTAGTTTTTAAGTTCGTAATTGAAAAATGGTAAAATTGGCCCATAATACATGGATGGAAATTTAGAAAATAAAATAATTAAGTTTTTTTAGTTTCCAATAATTTTAGATGAATAATTAGAATATCTTCTATTTTAGATGACTTTTTCTAAATTTATGTCAATTTGCTATATTTATATTATGTAAATTTATTATTAGTAAATTTTAACATTAATCAATAATAAGGACTAAATTGAAATATGTTGGAACATAATAAACTGAATTTAAACTTAAATAATGGTGACTAAATTTTAACAAAACGCTGAATTACTTTGGTCTCTATTGTTTGTTTTGGTTATAATATTTCTTGAGATATATCCATGACTTTATATTAAAGGGTTATTGTTAGGTGTAAATTTTGTGATAAAATTTTACAAATGAGGATCAAAATGATTACTTTTTTAAATTACATGAACTAAAACAAATATTTTAAAAATACAATAACTAAAATGAATCAAAATTGAGAGTACATTTACCAAAATATACTTTTTAAAAGTACAACGACTAAAATAGCATGTTAAGCCTTAAAAAATATTCAAACATTAACGGCTAAAACATACTTAGAACTTTTTTTTTTTTTCCTCTCTTCATAGCTCATAAAGAACAAGAGCTTAGCATAGAATAAATTTTTGGAGCATGAGAAAACTTGAAGCTCTCTCAATGTTTTATTCTAGCAAGTAGTAAGTTGAGTAAAAATGCTCCCACCTTGCTACTTGTACATTTTCTTTTTCTCTTGAGTTCAATAATGTAGGATAGAGATTTATACTTATACGGATTGAGCTATACTTGGATTGGCAGCACTGAACCTCTCGACATTACTATAATTTACTAGACAATACCAATCTCAAAGTATAGCCCAGCCCATTTGAGGTTTTCATCCAAGCAAAATACCTAACAACATTAGCATCTTTAGTTGAGTTAGATAATCTTTATAGAAGTTGGCTCTACATTCAGATTGCAAGAAACAAAAATGTAATAACATTATTGCTGATCATATTGCAAGCTAAAGAAACTAAGGAAAGGACCCTTGTTTTCCTTTTCTATGTTGCCATCAATACAAGGCAGAAAATTCATCTGAGATACACACACCTGAAATGGAAAAAAAAAATGCAAAGGAAGAAGCCAAGATATGGATACATGTGTGTGTTAACTATGTGCATCCAAAAACAGCTCAAGAAGGCGCAATGGAAACCTTATCAATCTCAACTACATACTCTAATGTTGCAAATGGAGGAATTTGAACCCCGGAACCTAAATCAGCACCCTTCTCTCCAAACCCCAAACTAGAAGGAATTATAACTCTCCTCTTGCCACCTGCTTTCATGGATCTCAGTACATATTCCAATCCTTCACACATTCCTTTGCTGTAAGGTCTTGATCCCATCACCAGAGCCAGTGGCTTTCTGTCATTTTCAAATGTGTCTACAAATACTTCCCCACTACCCTGTATTTTTCCCTTGAGGTCTATCACAACCAAGTCCCCGGACCTCGGTGCTGCGCCACCGCCGACTCTCAGCTCAAAGTACCTGTTTTGCAATCATCAAAATCCCTTGGATCTTATGGAATTAACAGGCCCACAGAGTGGGAAATAGGCCAAGGTAAGATGTTAGATAAGATAATGCACCTTGTGCCATTGGGTAGTACCACTTCCTCTTCCTTTTCAACGTTTCTGCAAGAATTCAGTGGTTGATTATGGAAGCATCTTGTTACTGGTAAAACCAATCATAATTTAAAATTTGGTTTTGTGTTCTACGGTTCTTATTTCATTTAACTTGTTCTGGAACAATTTCTGACGTTCTGAAATGTCTGTTGGGAATTATAACGCAAACACTTTGGCGGCATTCTTTCATTCACCAGGTTAACTTAACTAGTTTATGCTTATTAACAACCGCGCTCTAATGATTAAGGACACTACTTACTTAGAACGACAATATGAGAATTATGTTACGTAATTGGAAAGGGGAATGGATTGAGGACCTTGTATTTGCTTCTTCTTGAGAGACCTCGAGGCGAGTTTTGATCTGTTCGGAGACGACACCAACGGCGAGAAAAGCAGCCCACGCAAGGCCAGCGCCGAGCCCAAATCGCCTGGTCAAGGTTGAAGCTATCCAATCCGTGGACTCGACATTGGTGGTAGGCCTCTGTTGCTCCACCTTTGTTGGGGCTGGTGCTAGTGGCTCCGATGAAGAAGTGGTCAGAGATGGAGATGGCGGCGGAGTTTGCGGCGGTTGTGAAGGTGGGGTTGAAGGTGGAGGTGTTTGTGAGGCTGAGGAAGCTAAGTGATAAGTTCTGGTAAGCGGGTGGGAGAGAAATGCAGTCGATCCGAAAAGAGAAGCCATGATCAAATTGGATATTTCTCCCTACCTTATCCCTTTATGTGATATTTAAATGGATCTTCTGTTTATCTCTCTCTCTATCTTGTGTTTGGTATAATTTCTGAATGATTTTAGATAACTAAAAATATTTTTTTAAAATCTAAGTTATTTTAAAGTTGTAGTTTAATCACTTGAGAGATGATCGCTAAAAAAAAGTCCTTAAATGAAAAGATATAGCAAAGTTATCTTTATAAAATGAAGTCATTAAGATTAATAATCTGCAACTTAAAACAAGCAAACTTAGGTTTTAACTTCTTTTGTGTTGGAGTTACAGAAGCCAAACACTCAAAAAAGGGGAGGAGATTTCAAATATATGAACTTGAAAAGATGTATCAGTCTTGTGTTAACAAAATGCCTTGTTTCTCCATTCCAATTTACCATCTCCTGTCCTGCAACTGTAATAATGAAACCAACCCAGAAGTAAAGACATCAATTACAACATTTTCAACTAATCTTTTGTTTCTTTACAACAAATACACGTCCTGACAATGGCCTTCTCTAATCACATTGAGAAACCAGAAAATTGGAAAAAGAATCTCTCTCACCTTTTGCTCTTCATTCTCAAGCAATCTCTTTCTCATGCTTGTCCAATACAATCAACAAACTTGCTGCTCTTCTTTAATCGCAACTACACAAGGTTCCCGACTCCGTTTGCCCGTATACTTGCTCGTCTAGCCTGACGGGTCTTCGACAGCATGTAACAATCAAGCCTTCTCACGGCCACTACCTGCAGAAGCATTTGGTCTCGGTACTTGAGCACTCGATGATGGCTTCTGCAGCGGCTTCAGCGCAGCCATGATCTCGCCAAACGACGGTCTCAACTTTGGATCTCTATCATTTAGAATGGATCAAATGTCAGGTATTTATGTGTAACTGCACTATGAATGCATCTGATTCTATTTTCACACGTAAAGCAGCATATTTAAACAAATCAAAAAAAAAACATATAGGAAGATAGATTAACCATGAGATTTCTAGCTCCTTTTTCGTTTCGTTTGATAAGATACCGGAAAGTATAAGCAATCGCATATAAACTTTATGTTCCGGGAGCTGTTAAGCTGTAAGTCTGATGGTTGATCAGATCTAAAATATTGTCCAATACCTCAGCAAACCCTTCCAAATGTGCCTCATCAGATCCTGATCGCACTAGAGGGCAATTAACTAACAAGAACAAATGTGATCTTATGAGTAAAAGGCTTCATTGGAGAGTCACATATAGAGTTAACAGCATCTAGATCAGCTATATCATTAAGAAGCATGGAACTTCAAGCTGTTAAGATGATCAAATGTACATTAATTTCTCAAACTTTTTCTCCTTCCTTTTTACCACACTCAGCTAGTCGAAAGTGAAAGCCAGTAGTGCAATAATAGGCGTGTCCAGAAGTACTTAGCAAAATGCGAAAAGGAATGAACCCTTTCGAGAAGGTCAATTTGACTCAAATTAATTCAGGCCCATATTATCAACACAACATGTATACAAAAGGGCAGAAAAATCGTCATAGAATTTGTTTGTTTATTCCCAGTACATAGTTCAGGGAGCATTCACGAGTTCCATATCTCTCCTGTTTTCCCATAGTCTTCTAACCAAAAAAAAATACCTTCTCTCGTAGTCTAACTATGAAATACCTCCGAACCAAAACCTTCCTGCCACTCAAACTAACTCATTACAATGGGTTCCACACTCCACACACTCTCGCTAAAAGCTAAGCCATTCCCCATTCACTCTCTTGCCTTGTTTACCTTAACTATTGGAAGCTTATCACTTTCAGATTGGTAAAATAATTTAAAGATGACTTCTATGTAAATGAGACGCTTTTAACATTCCAAACAGCTACCTTGAGAGCCAGCCAAAGATGAAAACTGAAGCATAACTCATAAAGTTCCAAAAAGAAAATGAATCAATCAAACCATGCATGTAAAATTTCTGATTTCTTCAAAGTGGCATAAGTTTCATAATTAGAATATATGCATCCGAGGTTGAAATTGCTAAAGACAAACTAAACCTTGCAACCTTGCACCAATATGTGAATGCTTGAAATTGGAAGGAGACAAAATAAGAGTCCATTTGAACTTTGAAGCAACATTTGAATACTTACGTCTGCCAGCACTTCCGAATAATGTCAGCAATGGCAGGATCCATATTATCTGGGATGTCAAGACGGCGATGCTGAAACCCAACCGCACCAACTACCTGCATCGGGTTCATTCCACCCCATGGTTGTTGCATCGTACAAAGCTCCCATAGTATGACTCCATAACTATACACGTCACACCTATGCATATAATGTAACCAACGTATGACATACCCATACTATTTTATTACAAGACATCCAAGTGGATTCCTTTTCATATGAAACAGATTTCGTTAGGTCTTTAACAGAAGTTCAAAAGAAAGAGATGTGAAAATCTTACTTTTCATCTGAAGGTTCATTTCTTAGCACTTCTGGAGCCATCCACTCAGCCTGAAATTGAATAATAAGAAGAAAATAAGATATAGTTAAAAATCTATTGAATATGGTTGGAACTTGTAATCAGGATTCCCAGAGTTCTGTTCTTTTATAAGAAACTTCAATTAGTATTGAAACCAAAGAAAATTACAGCTTGCTGGAGGAACCGTCTCACATACCAACCAACGAAGTTGGGGAAAGAAAAAGGAAATGTCCAATTTTAAGTAAATGGTTAAAAGAGAGTTCCAATTAATTAAAGATTTAAAGTACTTATACAAATTATAAAGAAATAGATTTATCGTAACAACAATGATCACTAGTTCTGAATCAAGTATATTTAAGTCAGTATTTATTTATCCTTTTTTATAAGAAGCAAATTCAATTAGAACTATTAGGTAGAAGGCTTCTTGAATAGCTTGAAAAATACTTGCACATGCAAAAACTAGTCAATAAAACTTCTCCCAATTCATTAGTATCCAACCATAGTCAGTATATACAATTCTCAACCAAAAGGGGGCAAATTAATGTAAGTTTTATTTAGAAGGGTATAATTAAAGGAAGATTGGAAGTTTGCACTAGGAAGAAAGTAAATATATTAATAAATTACTTACCGTTCCAGCTGTTGACCTTGAAGAAAGAAATGTGCTATGCTTCATTTTTGATAAACCAAAATCACATACCTAAACGAGAATTAAATATTGTTAACACCGGACTGATTACGACAGAAGTTTATATCTGGCTTGATAAAAATCTGAGTAATGAAACAAGAATGCCACCTTCACAACCCAATTTTTGTCAACAAGAAGATTTGGGGACTTCAAATCACGATGTACAATAACAGGTGTGCAAGTATGCAAATAATTCATTCCCCGAGCCTGAAAAATTATGTCAATCATTTGAAGAAGAAGGTCACTTAAACGAAGTCCCTGATTTATGAAGTAGTCAGGAAAATGAAATAATAACTAACTACATAAAAAAATAGAACCATACTGCATCAAGGGCCATCCTCAATCGCTTTCGATCATCTAATTGGTTGTTAGGCCGATGAATTAACCTGTACAAGCTACCTCTGCAGCCCAAATACCAGTGGACATGTTAGATTTTTGGCCTTTGCCTCAAAATAGGAAGGGCGTAGAACAATACCATATTGGACAGTCGTATAAATAAGCATACAGGTTATTTCTCTTTTTAACACATAGGTCTCCGACTTTGACTCAACTAAATACTAAGACAAATTATACTTTTGGTCCCGAGCTTTCGAGTCAAGATTATATTTGGAAAATAGTTATAAATGATCCCTAGTATGACAATATTATTAGTTAGCTTAGTATAAATACTATGTGATAGTTGCATATGATGAAGAGCTGATATACCTGGGAAGAAATTCTGTAACAATTGAAAGATTGGGAGCACGTGTCACAGCTCCCATGAAGAGAACTACATTTGGATGTCGAAGCCTTTTCATAATTCGAACCTTTCAGTAGAAACCACAGCATAAGATACTGTTAGTTATAACAATTCCTAGCTATCTATACAATAATAATCACGAAGAAGGAATCAGGCTTGATAACCCGATGAGAGTACAATGGAACAAAAGAAACCACTTTGCAAATCTTGATCAATGAAAATTCAATAGGAAACTTCGGAGATATGATGATTATGAGTAACCAAATTCCTTGAGAATGTTCTTTGATGAGAAGCCCATTAGAATTTTAAAGCAATGAGGTAGCCGTATTCAATTGAAATCGCTCATCTCTTCGATTAATAGTAAATAAGGATTTACAATGGAAAAGGAATCTTCCTCCACCAGTATAGACAATACCCACTAATCCATTCTCTCCTCTCCCTTCCTTTTCCTCTATATCTAAGATTCATCCTTGTCCACCTGATCCCATCGGGATGGTTACCTGGCCTATCAGCACTCTGCGTCGGTCCTTCCCTAATCAGATATTAGTCACCATCTACCAACATTATGCAAGCCATCATCCCATATTTTTTTCACAGACCGTACTTTCCTGAAAGGGCTGGGAAATCCTTCATCTACTCGCATAACTGTGAACAATTCAACCCGACAGCAGCAAGGCAAACTACTAGATTTGTAAGGATTAATGCAGCAAGTGAATACTTTAGATGGGCGGAAAACAAACATATTGTTTAAATTTGCAAATGATACAATTAAAGCCTAGTTGCACAACTTCGTGCAAGTAACAGTAAATTGTTGGATGTTCAACAAGGTTAAATGAGCTTTGTTCTCTAAGTCCTAACTCAACCTGCACATTTGCAAGCTTGTTATTGTTTATTCTTATTACCAAATAACAAGGGTTCCTCGATGCTTTCTGAGGATTACCCACCTTGTCAGTCTTAGAGGCAATTACTGTCACTTGGAAGTTGGAAATAACAATCAGAAGTTCTTTTCGTACACATGAAACATCCCAAGTACTTGGGAATCCTAATTCTTCCTCTTTCTGGAATATAAAAAGCATAGGCAGATAGGCTAACTGAATTCAAACATTGGATTACGTAATGAATTAACTTATATCTAACAAAAATTCTGAACAGCCAAATTTCTGGAATAAATTTGTTACATTAGACACTCTGAAAATCGAGGAATTCATCTCTAGAACAAGTAATTGTTTTCCCATCATCTTTCAAGGCTTTAAATCTATAAATCAGGGGTGAAGCATTTGCAAGGATAAACATGAAAGGTATCCATGAAATTGAATTAACTCTACTGTGTCATTAGAGAACATCAGTTGCAAATGTCCTGACGTAAAAGTGAGACCAGGCAGTACCTCACTTTTGAATTCTTCAAGAGATTCACCAGAAATATCCTGGTCTAAAAACCTCTTCACAGCTACCTCCTACAAAAACAGATGGTGATTATAAGGTATACCCTTAGGACCTGATAATAATTAACAAATGACGAGCCGCGCAAAAGAAGGAAGAATAGAATACAGAAGCAGACCCCTCCAAAAACAGATGAGATCTGTACTATTTAATTTGAACTAAACAATGCCTTCAAAACTCTAATGAAGTACAGAGCATCAAGATTATGAAAGCAGACACCATAATCAACGAGATTATCATTCACAGTTGTATAAAAGAACTCACAGTTCCATGCCAATCTCCACGATAGACCTCCCCATATGACCCTGAAGCACAAAGAATTCACAAAATAAATTGAAATTTAACTTCTTTTTTTTTTTACGAAAAATCAAATTTTAACTTATAGCTATTAAAAACCTGGATTAAGTTCATATGTGATAAAAAATTAAATAACTTCAATAGAATAGCACAATGCATGGATTAGTAGTTAGTACCAAGTCCAATACGCTCTCCCACGGATATTTCTTCCCATGGGATCTCACATTCTGCAACGTCATCAAGTGTAATATCAGATTTTGTGCTTTCATTCCCTGCTGATCTATCTGATATTCGTTCACCCTCTGAATGTTCTCCACAAGCGTCATGCTCCCTACCTCCACTTCCACGCTGCTCATAAAGAGCAGCATCAGCTTCAACCTGCTCATACTGCTTGTTGACTGCTGCAGTTGTTGCAACCACTGCAGCAGCGGTGGCAGTGGCAGCAGCTGCTACAGGAATTTCAAGATTTGCATCAGTACTCTTTGCTGCAGCCACTACCATTGATGATGCAACAACAGCTGCAGCTGCTGCTGCTGCAGCAGCAACAGGTACATTTCTCCCATACTTCACTGGAGTTACCTCAAATGGTAAGGCTATGGGTTGTCCAGCTGTTTCTCTTGAATCAAGAGAAGGGTTGAGTTCCAGGGGTTTAAGATGCTGTTGTTGTCCGTGTGTAGGACTTGCTTTAGAATGTAGTCTGTGCTGAGGCAAGGGAGGCAAAAAGTTTGCTGGGCGAGGATCTTTCCTATCCACACTTTCGCAGAGATCAGGTACCTTTCTACTTTCATCCTTGTCTTCAACTGGTGACCTCGACTCAACGATAACATCTATTTGATCAGGATATGCCTCAGTAAACAAGTTAGGGGGAGCAACTACACCACTTTCGAGCAACACATCATGAAGCTTCTGAGCCAATCGTGGATTCTCTTTGGCAGCATCAATCATGTACTGTGAAACATCCTTTACTTTCATTCTGCGCACTGCAGGTGAACTAACACCCTCGGTCCAAGAAGGGGATCTCACGTGCATGCCAGGATAATTTGGTTTGCTAGCAAAATCGCGTGATAGCCCCTTGTCAAAATTGGGAGGATCGTATTCCTTTGTGGCACTGAGATTCTGGGACTTCGGTTTCCTATCTGATATACCAAAATCTGAGTTTTCCTCCAATGAACTGCCAACTCCACTGCTTGAAGAGGCTGCCTGAGAGGAATCAACATCTCTAGAAAGTGGACTGGCTGAAAGAGGGGATTCATCATACTCAACATGTGATCCAGCAGCATCAGATGGAATAAGTGTACCAGGATCTGCCATTAAATCCACAATGTACTCCCTGGAATCCAAAGGATCAGAAATTTAAACTTTGCAATCCCCAAATAAATAAGAAAGGTAGTTCAAGTCTTCAACCTCTGTTTTCAACATGATTCTACTTCAATAAACAGAGAAATCAAGCAATTAATAAATAAATTATTTAAATGCATTGTCAAATTATAAGGCTTATGTAATAGCACAACCTCGTGAGGATGAGAGACAAAAAAGAAAAACGCATCCCCAAACGATGACACACACAGAAAAGGTAAAACAAAAGTTTCTTTTTTCAAAGAAAAACCATGAACTCTGAAAGACTTCTGCAAGATACAATAGCAGCTACCTTCCACCATCGATCTTTACGAAGTTCATTGCCACATCATCAGAACCTGTGTACTGTGGTCCTTTGACCAACCTACAAGGGATACCCACGCCATCCGCCAAAAGCTAGGTAAACATATAAATATAAGTCAGCAAAAGCAAGCCCCAAGAGTAAGACAAAGATCTTCAATGGAAAAGTTCAAAAGCAATCGATTAAGCACATGAAACTAGAAAGTACAAAAGAAAAAATGGAGGCAACTAGATGCAATGAAGGACCTAATACCAATACTATAAACTAGACAGAAATATCCATTTCTATACTACAGATCAAATGCACCCTCATCTAATAACATAAAATTTTCAGATTACTGGTAATTTATTACAATTAAATATAACGCAATTTCACTCCTTTATAATATTAACCGTGATAAGAATATAAACTAAATGATTAAATGTACCAACGGATCAAATATAAAATAATATCATCCAATTAGAATACAAGGATCAAATATAACATAATATCATCCTAGTAGAATACAATTAAATATGATGTAATAGCATCCTATTAGAGTTTTGAAGAATTGAGCGTCAAAGGACTATTGAAAGACATAAATGTAATAGCAACATTCAACTCAATGTTGGATGTAAAAATGATAGTAATAAATAATAAATCAGGAATTCAAGTACCTTGAATAACAATGCACGATGACGAGCCAACCCAACAGTAAGGGAGCCAAGAGGCAAAACCATACTACCAAGGGTTGCTTTCAAGCTGTTACTAAGACTTCTCCATTTTCTCAACATCTTTTCAGGATCCCCCACTGCTCCCCCCATATGATCAGAAACTAAAACAGCAAGCTTCCGTACCAAATAACTATTGACAGAAACTGGAGATTCAGACCTCATCTTGATGGCCATCTCCAATGCCGTCTGTTCAAGTTTCAATAAGTTAGCATCAGCAGCTTTATTGATCACAACTGCTTCCCAAGTGACACTGTCAGACATTGGTGTTCCTTGCAGATCAACTAGGGAAGGCATTCTTTCTGAGGTGGCTTCAGTGAAGACTCCATATAGGTCATAGAAGCCATCCAAGATCTTGTCATCATAGCTAAGAGAATTGTAATTCTGTGAAGCACGCATAAATCTACGATATGAGATGGGTTAGAAAGGAATAAACGTAAAACAAAGTAGAGGCACATGATAACAAAGTAAAATATCATACCCCAACATTCATAGTTTGTGCTACGAACAATAAGAGGTAGGAAAAAATAACAAATTTTTTTCTTATGCGAAAAATTATGAAAAGACAAATAAGGTGGCACTGACTGAACCAAACTACAATAATGCATGGTTGCGCTTAAACAAATTTCAGAAGGTTAAAACAATTAGATGACGCAATAGTAAAGAGAATGAGGATGAAAGTTTGATCTAAAAGAAGTCAAAAAAGAATGAGGATTTTGTTGCATATACCGTTAATGTTGTTTATTACATACTTGATTAACCTATCTTTTTCTGTCCGTCTTCCGTGTGCGTCACTTCTAAAATATGTAAAGTTCAAAATTGTTACTAAATTTCTTGGCTCAAATAGTCTATCTTCCGACCCAATTCCTCTTTCTCTATTGGTAATGTTTCAATCTCCCAGCTTATAAGGTTATTGATTGTTCCTTGCTTCTAACCATCCAAAAGGAAATTCCTCATTTTCTTGTACAATACGAGCCACGGGGATATGAAACATGGGCATATAGTAGGTCAAGCTCCCTTAGAGAGACAATAATTTCCCCACGTATCTAATCCTCTCAAGACTTTTTCTTCAACTGATCTCCAAAAATCAACTTTCCTGGGTTACCTCCCAATGACATCTCCATATGAGAGATAGGTAGAATACATTGGTACACCCCAATGGTGCTGAAAAGACCTAATCATATCCATTTCAAAGTTAATTTCATTTATCGATGACTTCTCCAAATTAATCAAACCCCAAGCCAACTTAAACACATCTAGCACATTGAACACATTCTTCATTATGCTTAGTTCATTGTCACAAAATAGGATAAATGGATCTCCTCCCTTCCAATAACTCTCCTTTCAAGCATTTCCTCTATTTTCTATCATTTATCAACGGCCCCACATCCTTTCTCCTTTAATGCACAATTTGAATTTTAATTCACAACTTTATTTGTTGTTCTTCAAAATTTGTACCCATACACATTCTCTCAATACGCCATCCTATGTAAAGATACATCGCTACAAATGGCACTCAATAAAAATTATATCAATAATTTACAGGGGTGTAAATAGAGCAAAATATACGAAGCGTTACTTGTCAAGTGTTTGCTAACATAGTACAATGTGACGCCTCGGTAATCGGTCAAAAGAATGGGACACCAAATTCTATGTGTAGCAACCAAGTTTTTTCTTTCAGGTAAAAAACAGAAGTCCTTGAACAAATTAAATTACCAGAAGAGAAGAGAGAACTCTAACAAATATTAGTCAAATTACGGGGGAAAGGCTCTCCTAATTTTTTATTATAGGCATGGACACAAGGTCGAAAGCATAGATAAATATTAAAAAAATATATAGTTAAGGAAATTACTTCAACGTGATGAAATTGAACGTGAATATGAAATAAACAAATACAATATCAAGGTTGAATGATTGTCACATGAAACCACGTTATACCAGTCAAATAAGAGCCAGTATTTACGCATACAACCATACCATAACTTGAATAATTATCTGCTTTAAGTGTGAACTACAGTGTTCCCCTGATATATAGAGATCCGTGCATCTTGGGCTAATCAAAGAAACAATTACTATAGATGAATAGGATGGTATAACGTGAACCCTATAAAATAACAGGACATTTAACTGAATAGCTTGAGGACATTGCAGCCAACAACCCCACAGATGAAGATGAAGCATTCATCACATTTCATTTAATCGTTGGTAAGAAGCAGACTTCCAAAGTTCTGAGTCATTGATTTTAAGTATCTCCATTAACTACCAGAAAACTGATATTTGATATTGTTTTGAAGCTGAAATATCATAAAGTTTACTTTGAGCAAATAAATTGGACCAATGCATTAGAGCACTATGGTGTGTAAGTAAAAAGTGTTGCACGAGTACAGAATGTAAAAGTCAACCACAATAAATTAGCTCGTGAGCTGAGCAAACTTACCCAGTATCTGAAGGCAATAACTTCAGCTGGAGTGTTATCAGGATCACATGAGCCCAAACTGATCTGCTTCACTGCCTCAATCTGAGCAGCCTCAGGATCCTCTCTGGCACTCATTTCCAAAGCAAGCTGTATCTGATACTCTTCCTCTATATCAGGATCCCTCGAGTTACTCGACCCTGAATCATGCCTTGATGTATCCATGGCAGCGTCTCTGCTAGATACTGAATCAGAAGGCTCCATTATCTCTCCTGCTGTGGGATTCGAAGATGATGGAGGGCTGAGGCTACGTCTATTTGCAACAGAGTTCAACCAACCGGATATCCCCGAGAAGGGTTTATGCTCCGAATTAAAATGGGCCGGCCGAGAGCGAGATGGCAGCTTATCAGGCGATGGAGCCTCAAGTAATTTACTGCCCCTCGATGAAGTGGACCCTTCTGCTGTGTCGTCAGGCTGACTACTGGACATGATATGGAACTTCTTGAGGAGGTTCTTCATATTATTTTCACGAAGTCAGAGGGCTGAATGCTAAAGTAAAAATCTGGCCATAAGCCTCTCCATTGTCTTAGAATTAGCATCAAACTCCAATCGCTGTGTGACCACTAAAAACTCGTTGGAAGTTCAAAATCAATCGTGAAAAGCCCCTTTTGCGCAAAACCCATAGTTAAACCATCCCGTCAAACCCAGAAGCCATAACGATTTCAAGCGCTTCAAAGTCAAGCTCCGGGAATTATCGACTGACCCAGATGCTTGTATCGAACACCAGCTTCCTACTTTCGATAAACAAACAAACGCACTCCAAACTCGAATTGAAAACAGAAACAGATACTAAATCGAAGCATAGATATATATATATATGTAAAACAATAGCAATATCGAAATCGAAGTTTGAATTGTATTACCGCCTGATAACGGAATGTGAGTAATGAACGAATACCCCGAGAAATAGATCTTAATTCAGACTGAGAAGGGGGCAGAGGCCATTGAAAAGAGGGAAGAGAGGTTGAATAAAGGGGCAGGTGAACGCAGGCTAGAGACACCGGAAGCAAGCAAGTGGGTTTGAGTAGGACCTCAAGGAGTGACCCACTTGAGTTTGAGAGAAGGGGAGGATTTCGCGGTCCCAGAAAAAGGCTCAACTGTTGGGAAACACGACCCAACTGGCTCGCTCAAGGAAAAAATTTTCTTTTTCTTCGCACCCAGAGCAGCAAAATCCTCTCTATCTCTCTATCTCTTCTTGGAATCCAAAATTCCAAGTGTGACCGTCTGAGTTGGAAAATTATGGTGGACTGCACATAAATGGAATATAAAAATGCACAACTTGGAGAACCAGTCTGCTCAATTCGGCTTTTTACTATTTCAAGCAAAAGGGGTATCATCCCTCCCAATTCTTTTTCAACTTCTATGATCAAACACGGCAAAAAACTGTTTTAACTGGTAGTGTTAACAGTTTCACACCTTTATTTCAACTGGAACAACAAAAAGAAAAGAAATCACTAGCTGTAGACTGTAGTGTAGTGTAGCAGGCTTGGCCAGCCGCAGCCATTCGCTGTTTAAATTATGACTTGACCTTTATTCTCTTTTACCAACTACAGTTTAGAATTTACTCCTCTTTTGCGCCAGAATCAAGAAACATATCTTCTTTACAAATTGGGTTTCAACTTTCAACCTTCAATTCTTGGTGGATATTTAATTGATGGGTCTGAGAAAAAAGTTTGATATTTTTGGTAATGGTGTGAAAAATATAAAATCTTGGATCGCAAATTTAGGAGGCCCTGGTTAATTTGCCACATGCATAAAATTTAAATTGGGTTAGAGCTCAAAATAGATAGAAAATTAAGGTGGGAGAGAGATTGTGAAGTGAATGGCTAAGAACTGGGGTGCACCAAAAACTTTGGTAAGATATGGGGCATCTGTATGCCTCAAATCAAATAATTAAATTCAACATTATATAGTTGACATTTGATTCTATTGGACATCACATTTTATGCTTATGCTTGTGGAACTAGCAAAACTCCTCAATGATGGATGACGAACTCCATTTTTATCTCCATACATGTATGTAACAGATTGAATTACAAATTCAATCCCTAAATTTTTATGGTAGTGTATGAGCCGTCATAAATACTATTTTAAAATTTAAGAAGTGAAGTTATTATTATAAATAATAAGTCTTTTTCCATTGCACTCAATAATAGTTGCTAAAGTATTTTGATGCAAACAAAAGTGGAAACAAAAGGTAATGTAATGTGTTTAATATTTAAATTTAAAGTCAGACAACATAACACTCACGTTAATTTATAGAAAATATATTTACGGCTACAATCACTAATTAGGGTCTATTTAGTGTGTATTCTTAAAATAGATGTTTAAAAACTATTTTGGTCCATTTAAATTTTTATTCATTTTGATCTATGTACTCTCTTCCTAACTTTAGTTCATTTAAGTCTATTTAATTTCAACTTGTTCATTTTGAAATTTGCACTTTTAATAAGTAACTATTTTATAGTTAACTTGTTTTTTTCCTGGTGGAAAATTAAAAAAAGGTGATTACTATAACCACGTGAAGTAGACCATGTCAAACGGTTGAAAATAAATATAAATTTCAAAACTTAAAAAATAAAGTATAATATCTAAAAATTTATTGCCAAAACAAAATAACTATAAGATTTAGCGGTAATAATTTTATCAATATTTTGTTTATCTCATTATAAAAGTTTGGCTTTCGATAATCGAACCTAATTATAAGATTGAAGAATATATATATATATCCCTCTAAAAGACGTGAGGGGATGAATAGGATTTTTCATCATTTCAAATACCTTGTACCTAAATTAATTTCTCAATATTTTTTCTTGGTATGAATAGGTTAAAATATTCATACATTTTCTACGAAATTATAAGTTGAATTTCCAAACTTATATAATATCTTTAAAACAAAACTTAAAATTCTACGAACTATAAATTTGATGTTCTAAAACGTTTTCGTTTATAATTTTTTTTTTCTGGTTGGAATATTCATGTTTGGCAAACAAATAAAATCGATTAAAATAAAAATCAGTTTAAATTGATTTGAGAAGAAGTAATTGGCAGGGGATTTTGGTTGGATTGATGGTCAAGAAACCACATCTCAAAATTAAATATTATTTGAAATGTCAAAATCCCACTAAAAAATATTCCAATATATTTATATTTAGCACAAGTAATGGAATGGGCATTATATTTAGCACAAATGACGATTGAAGATCAATTTTTTAAATTTAATTACAAATTAAATTAATAAATTAATAAATTAATGGTAATGGTAATGGTATTAATTATAATATAATTAAATATATTTAGTTATTTAAACAACTTTTTGTTTAGTTAAATTTCTCAAATACAACATAATTTTTAGGAATTTGGTATCTCTAGGATCATTTTTTAAATCAAACATTAATATTTCAAAATCACTTTTAATTATAGTAAAATCAATTCAAATCAAACACAAATCAACGGGTAATTAAATCAATTTTACAAAATTAATTGTAGTCTTTTTTTTCTAATAACAACAAAAACAAAATCAATTGTAGTTAAGTCTCTTTTACAAAAGCACTAATTCTATTAGTATCACTCTTAAACACTTCAATAAAACTTTAATACTTATTTTAAGTCAAAATATTTTTCTAGTAGCACATTTGGAAAATTTGTCAATTTATAGTGTGTTTAGTATTTTGTTTTCTTTTTTAGTGATTTTAATAACTAAACATGTCTTTTAAAAAACCTACAGTGTTTGATAACAAAAAAAAAAAAGTGTTCAAAAATTTGATTGCTCTAAACTTTATTTTTGAAGAAAACAATTAAAGGATGATTTATCAAAAAAAAGTTCTTCTAAAGTGAATTGACACCCTTAAAACTCAAACATTCTAGAGATTGTTATTATTAAAGAAAAAAATTTAAGAAATACTTAAATTAAAAAATATATAAATTCGCACTAAATTGACATGAAGTACTTGTTTAAGTGACCATTAAATAAATTATATTTGAAAAAAATATGTCATGTGATTTATTAAAAAAAAACTAAAATATAATATTATTATTTTTTTAATACAATATCTTGGATGGGATGGGATGGGAGATCCAACTCACAAGATTGAAAGAAGATATATGTTAATTATCGTTGAACTATGCTCACTTCGACTAAAATACAATATTTTAAAACATAGAACTTAGATCGAATTATTAATAAGAAAACAAATATCATCCTCATTTATTGTTTAAATTTAAACCCAACAAAATCGGCATCCACTTTTTCTTTTCTTCTCGTGCGATGGCGATCATATTTCCAAATTTGTTTCCTGTTTTTTTCCTTGGGAGACTTTGCAATTTATCCATATTGTATGACCTAAAAATAAAAAAGAAAAAGAAGGAAAGAATGCCGAAAAAGAAGGGGAAAAGTGTGTGTGTGTATATATATATTAAATTTTTTTTTATTATTATTTTTATTTTTTGGTCCGTCGTATGTGAAGTGCCCTCTTGAAAAGGGAGGTGTTATCCAACATCTTCAAACCTACCTTTACTTTGTTTTTCCCCAGAATATAAAATAAAATTACAAAAAACTATTTGAAACTCGAAAGCGATGGTTGAAAAAACTCATACCTATAAACTATAAAATTTGGAAAAATTGTAAAAATCTTCCTTAAACGTGTGGTTACAATCGCACTTTTGAAGTTTCAACTTATAAAATTATCATAATTAAACCTTTAAATATTGTAAGATGCACAAACTATTTATCAACTGTAAATAATTTTTACATCAATTTTTTATTTTCTTAATCCAGAGTTTAGCTCAATATTAATCGTTGTTTATGCAAGGATATGCACAACAGTGTATTTCAGATTGCAGCTCGAACTCGGCCTCCGGACCGACCTGAATACTTGGACGGACCTGCACAAAGAGGTGAGCACTCCGACGATCAAGTCTAGGTCGGATTCCCAGTTTAGTTCGATGTCAGAGATCATCGTCCCTGATCGTGGAGTGAAGTCCTCTACTTATGGGTGGTAGTCCCGCTAATCTCGCGACGGTTACACCCGGTAATCTCGGGACCGTCGGTTACACCCGGTAATCTCGGGACCGACGGTTACACCCGATAATCACGTCGCTGACAGTAGCTCACATCGGCCCCCACCGAGCTTCCCGGTAGGTCGGACCTCGGCCAGGTTCACCTCGGCCCTACTTAGTATCTGTCAACGCTAGTGGTGGTGATCTCGACGGTCCAAGCTGGGGCATGACTCATGGGTCATCTTGGAGCACCAATAGGGTCCTCCACGTGTCCAGGATATTCTTTTCCCCAAACAATCGTAAAATCAAGATTTAAAAAGTATATTGAATTTATTTGTTTTATATTAGATTTGAATTCAAGCTTTTAAGGAATATTGGCAAGCTCAAAATAGAGACTGATAAATTTATAAAACGCAATGAATAAATTTAAACTAAAATTAAAGTGAAGTAAAAACCTAATTAACACAACATTTGTAGTTCCTATACAAAATTTTTCCATCTCAATATTAAAGTCAAATCTTTGAAAGTACTCTCCATTTCAGCAAACAAGCTATGCCAATATTTCCTTTCACTTTATTTTTTTGTATTTTATTAAGGGGTCCACATCATGACCAAATCAACAAAGTTCAATAACTTCAATAGTATGAAATTGGGATTCTCTGATTTAACAATTGTATTATTAGTTTGGTATAATGTTGTATTTATAATTTAAAATGTCCCATGTCGTTAAAAATAAAGGGTATATTTTCAATTTTCAATTTTCAATCGGTAAAAAGGGTAATAAATTATGAATTCGTTCCAATTGTTTTCACATAGCAAAACAATAATAATTTGATTCCCATGTTTTTTATATATATTTCTTTCTAAACTATCGTGACATAATTTGTTAAAATTGTAATTTCCTCGCCACCGTACTTATAAAACTCTTGATACTAGATTTTCATTGAGGAGTCACTTCATCCTTGATAGAAATAAATATCATTATAAAATAATGATAGGATAATATAGATATTTCAAAATATATATGTATATATACACACAACCATGAAAATGTTAAATCCAATATGTGAAGGTCTCTATTTTTTTTTTAAATATATCTCCATAAAACCACTCTTTGGTTAATTGTTCATATTTTTACCATGTTCTATTATCAATTCATGCATATAATTTGTTTAAGCTAAAAATTATTCATATTTATAGAATATTAAATATTATACTCATGATAAATGTATATTAATTGTTGAAACAATTTTTTGGGAATTGGTGTCCGGCCTACCACACTATGATGATTAATGAATTTAAGAGGAGAAAAAAAGAAAAAATGAGTCTCCATGAAATTGCTTACTTCTGAAAGTTGAGAGTTATTTCTATTTATAGGGAATGTGACAGGTTAAAAGTTAGATTATGCGTAGGATCAAAGTCACAATCTCTTGATGGGAAATATATTACCACTAAGCTAAGTTGTGCTCGCTTTTGCGGATGAATAAAGTATTTATTAATAAGTAAATTGTATTTTTTTAGTACAATAAATAATACTTTTTAATTGGGCAACATTCGCCCAAAAGGTTGTTAATGGAATCTTAAAAATTAAAAATTATTTTATGAGAATATATATATGTATAGATGTTTGTCTTTGTTTGAAGAAATACCTTTTTACTTAAAATTAAACAATATCTATTGGACAAAGATCTTTATTTAACAGAAGATATAAAAATAAAATTGAAAAAAGAGAAAATAAGAAATCACTACTTTACCGAGGATTAAATATTAAGTAAAGGGATATAGCAGAAATTAAAAAATAAAAAATAAAAATAACCCACATGGTTCTCAATTTACGGCGGGCGGCCGGGCTTGCTTCTTTAATACGAAAAGTCAAGTTTGGTTGCTTTTCATAGGACATAAATCTTCGACAAAAATATCCACCCACGCGCCTTTATCCTTCTGGGAACCGATTCGTAAGGCGACTGCGAGTGGGGAACATCCCACGATTATTTGCCTACGCGGTCTCTTATCATCCAATCAAAGAGGATCGCAGAGTGGAAATCTTGGAGATACCTATTGAAACGCGGTGAAGCGCGTGTTGATCAACCACGGGAATAAATGGGCAGCCGCACGGGCAACCGTCAGTGCATTTAAAATAAACAAATAAATAAATTGAGGAAAAGGCGCATATCTTATCTTTACAATTGAATCCACTTTATTAATTATATTTTAATAATTTCGTGAGGGAAATAAAATCCACCGTACAACTTAAAGTTATTATTATTTATAATGCAAAAGTTAGTTTACGCAATTTGATTTCTTAAAATATAGAATTTGAGGATTCCATTGTCGTTTTCTTAATTGCACTTTTTTTTGGGTTGGCAGATGTACGATGAAATTTTTATTTCATAAATATATTTCTCTCAATGAATTTTGTATTAAAAATTGTTATTGTTCTCATCATTAAAATTCAATTAACAATTTAATGAAATGTTAATTGAAAAATCCAAAAGCCTAATCTAATTTCTAATATCTAATCTACTAGATATATTCTTCGAAAATATCTACTGATCACAGATATTTTGTTAGAAATCAAACATAAATGGTTCAAAAGTCAAGAGATTAATACCAAAATAAATATAAAGTCAATAAACCATGGTACATTTCAGGGCCCGAGAAACGAAAACGAAAATGGGGGTTGGTAAAGGCTTACAAGTGACACGTCTACACCAATTGAGCTAGGGAACCATTGTGATATTCAACATACAATATTTATTATTTTATTATTTAATCTAAGTCCAAGAAATGGAAACGAAAAAAATAATATTATTTCGAGTTTCCAAAATTCAGTCCCTTTTTTAAAACGTTTATCAAAATTTTGAAATGAGAAACATGATATATTACCAAACATATATATTTCTCAAAATATAAGAAATTTGAACCATAGACAATAAACAAGTATGCTACTAAACGTGCTCACAAATTCATATTTAGTTAGTTATACAAAATTGGCAGAAAAATAAAATAAAATTCTAAGGACATCCCCATTAATTTTACATAACTGAAAAATGTTAGATATAATGACTCCTACTCTTTTATATAATTTTCAATTAGGTATTTATGCATAAAAATATTGTTAAAATCAGTTAACAAAATTCGTTATTGTTTCGTTATTGTTTTGTTAATGTATTAAGATCATGACATGAACTTACCACTCAAATGACATTCAACACATGAAATACAATCCGCTCGTAATCAAAAGTTGACTTGATTTCAATCAACTCCATTATTTTAAATGATATGGTCACGTGTCCAAGTAGATGAATAAATCAACAATTTAATAATATGATAACCTTATATTTACCTATTATAACAAAAATTTGTACATGATGACTATATTGATAAATTTTAATACACTACGGTGTAATTAAGAATTTTCAAAACATGTTAAAAAAAAAAAAGATAATTTCAAAACATCAAAGAACAAATTGTTTAGATTATAAGTAAACAGACACATTTTTAAAAAATGCACACAATTATTATGTAAACAAGTATGTGTACGAAAAAAAAAAGTGATGTAAATTTAAATAAATACAAGAAAACGATAACTCATAATTTATCTACAAATCGCTCGCTTTCTCAAGAGGGCTGATTAAAACCATGAAAATTTTGGAAAAATGGCAGGATTGGAGGCTGGGGCCTTTTTCATCGGGAGCAAGGGAGAGGAGGAAACTCATACGGGAAACTTTGCTTAGACCAGATTTGTAGCGCTCATGATTGGCTACCGAGAAAATCGCGAGAGAGGGAGAACCGAAAATGCTGGAATTGAATGGCGGAGAGCCGAATCAGAACCGAGGAAGCCGAGTGGTTTCATACGGCGAGTGCGATTCTTATGTTCGATGTTCGTCGTTTGTTTCACCGCCGCATTCTATTGATATACTTTTCTCTAATTTTCTCATTTAAACAAGTGATCCGGGTCTCTGGCCATTACGATACATAATATCCAGCAGTAATGGCGATGGTAACAATGTCAGTCATTGCCGGATGAAGGCCTTGAATCTGAGGTTCGATACTTGTTGAAATTAAGCGAGTGGACGTTTATCTCATACGCAGACTGCTACCATGGATCGCTTCAATAAGGTTTTCTGCAGCTTCTTCCCCCATTCCATTTTCTTTTTCAGACATGCTGAGTATTTTAGTCTCAATTTGATCTCCGTCTCTTTATATGTGTTTTTTTAGTACTTGAGTTGGCTGTCTGGTTCTATTAGTCCGTTCCAGCCATTCTTCAAGTGGTTTATCTTGTCTGGTTTCGTTAAGCGAACAACCATTTGATTCTGTACTACCACGCATACGTGTTTGTGAAACGCGACTGTTATTACTTATATTTTTATTTAACTTGTTTTTTTCCCCTCTGAAATATGACTTCCAAAGATGAAGAGAGCCAGTTTTTCTTTTTTAATTCCGGGATTATGGTACTGTTATTAATCGAAGATTTCTATACCTCCATTCAACTTATTTGACTAGCCACCGTGGTGAAGATGTAAAGTTACAAGCGAAGATTCCTTCATTTCCTGCCACTGTTCAGGTCTTTTTGTGACGGATACATGTGGCTTGTCCAGGTTTTTCTTAACGATGCGGACTTATTTTAGGCGGAGTCCTTGATCCACGATGATTTGAGTGTTAACAATGCATATATCCTGCTTTCTCTGCGGAATAATTGTTTAGGCGAGAAAATTTGAACAGTAAAAGGAAAATAAAACCCAGAAAATACACTAACATATAATATCAGATCTTCAATTTTTTGCTGTTGAAGATTTTACTGAAATGAAAAGGAGGGGATTACAATAGTATGACTAGTAAAGCAATTCAATGATGCCTATGTCAGGCCCGGACACTCACGGATATCAACAAAAAGAAAAAAAACATGTTACATGAATCTCTTCTACCCTCCATAACGCGCATATATTGATTTGCTTAGGACATTAAACAAAAAATGACAATAAAAAAAGAAAGAAAATGAAAAGAGAACCCTTTAAATCTTTCATGCCTCTTATCCAGTTGTTAGTGTATGATTGCTGCTGATTGTTCTGCAGGGCGAGAAGCAATCAGAATTTTTCACCGAGTATGGAGAAGCAAGCCGATACCAAATTCAAGAAGTTATCGGGAAAGGAAGCTATGGAGTTGTTGGTTCTGCAATTGACACCCAGACCGGTGAAAGAGTTGCCATCAAGAAAATTAATGATGTTTTCGAGCATGTATCTGATGCCATACGCATCCTAAGAGAAATTAAGCTTCTGCGGATGCTTCATCATCCGAATATTGTAGAGATAAAGCATATCATGCTTCCTCCCTCACAACGAGAATTCAAAGATATATATATTGTTTTTGAGTTGATGAAGTCTGACCTTCACCAAGTAATTAGGACAAACAATGTTCTTTCTCCGAAGCAGCATAAATTTTTCTTGTTCCAGCTTCTTAGTGGTCTAAAATATATACATGCAGGTCGGTCCTTTAAGTGATTCAATTGGCTTTGCTCAGCTTAAATTATTCTTAACTAATGAATGGATTTCTTTGGATGTTATGCAGCAAATGTCCTTCATCGAGATTTAAAGCCGAAAAACATACTTGCAAATGCTGACTGCAGACTGAAGATATGTGATTTTGGACTTGCTCGCGTTTCTTTTGGGGATGCGCCGTCTACTATTTTCTGGACAGTAAGGTTTTCTTTTCCTCTTTTCTTGGGTAATGGAAGTCACGGCATTCAACTCATTTGGTTTATTCTCAATTTTTGTCAAGGATTATGTCGCAACTCGTTGGTATCGTGCTCCAGAACTCTGTGGATCATTTTTCTCGAAAGTAAGCCACTTTACATTCTCAAGAGATCATATTTAATCATCCTATTACCAGATGTTGAATGTTTGAGTTTGGAGGCTTAAGCTTTGGAATATTTGATTCTCAAGATTACATGCACGTGCGAAATAATTGGTCTTTTGCACTAATTCAAACCATTCCTCACCATTGCTCATTTTTATATACAACTACTTCTATTATTTTATACTTGCGATGGCAATCACCGTGTGGACACAGTAATATTTCGGGAGGACATTGTAATTAGGTCATTTACAAAATGTCTATTGCAAGTCGTATTGAAGGAATGTAGATTTGGAGGGGTCACGGGCAAATATTTTAGAGGCAGAATTAAAATGATTAATTCATGACATGTCAAATTTCGACAAACTAATTCTTTTTTCTTCTCAGTACACCCCTGCTATAGATATATGGAGTATCGGATGCATATTTGCAGAAATGCTTACGGGAAAACCGTTGTTTCCTGGAAAAAATGTGGTTCACCAATTAGATCTAATTACCGATCTGTTTGGCACTCCTGATGCTGAATCCATAGCGAAGGTTGGTTGTCTCAGTTTTTTTTTTTTTTTTTTTTTTTTCTAATTTATTTGACTGGAGTAATGAGATAAAATTACAATTATTGTACCAGTTTACGAATTTCACGAGTTTCAAGCCTTGAAATGTCTGCATAATTCACAATTTTAGGCTATGCATCAAAGTTATGTTAGAATCTTCACTTAAATTGACTCACTGGTTTGTTAGAATCTTCACTTAAATTGACTCACTGGTTGAGTCTTCTTTTATGCACCATTATGTATTTTAAATCTATTTCAAGATTCGGAATGAGAAGGCAAGAAGATATCTTGGAAACATGCGTAAAAAACCACCAGTTCCATTCTCTCGAAAGTTCCCTAATGTCGATCCATTGGCACTTACTTTGCTGGAACGCCTCCTGGCATTTGATCCGAAAAGACGTCTAACAGCTGAAGAGGTAAGTAGGATTTGCCTACCAATTTTATTACCCTAATAACACCGTTTTTAAAAATATTTGCAAATATGTAAATCTTCGAGTTCCGCATTCAATGTCAGGCACTATCTGATCCTTACTTCAATGGTATGGAAAAAGCAGACCTTGAAGCTCCTGTTCAACCAATTTCAAAACTTGAGTTTGAGTTTGAGAGGAGGAAATTGTCAAAAGATGATGTTAGAGAGTTAATTTATGCAGAGGTATATAACCTGGCAACTCGGTACTTGCTGCTTCAACAGTAATTTAAATCAAGTATTTTGTTTGAAAAGAACAAAAAAAAAAAAAAAAATCACCTCCGTGATGAAAATCTGAAATTTTGGTTGATGAAGTTTTTTTGACAAATTTGCGTGACTAAGGTTCCCTGCCAAAATTATAGGCGATCAACCTTGACTAAGAATATAATGAATTTCATGTATGAAGTCTACAGATCTTAGAGTATCATCCCCAGATGCGTCAGGAGCGCCAACGCGATGGAGATCAAACTACCTTTATGTATCCAAGGTAGTGACTCTTCTCCACAATTAAATATGAACATCTTTTAGAGTGCAATTTTTCATTGGATGTGCCCGTGTAAGAGAGTGAAGAATCTTTCTTTTACCTATTGATTTTCTATTGATCTAGTAAATGATTCCTGTTATGAGGACACGAACGGTTGATACAAGGTAAAAGTAATATTTTCTGGATTCATCAGTCTGTAATCCATTTCTTCCTTTTGCATATGCTCAGTGGCGTTGATCGATTTAGGCTTCAGTTTGCGCATCTGGAAGAGCACCATGTCAAAGGTGAAAGAAGTGCTCCACTTCAAAGGCAGCATGCTTCTTTACCCCGGTAATGATTTGAATATAAGTTTGGTTGTTCTCTTCAGTAAATGATATAAGTTTTAAATGATATAAGTTTAAGACACCACATGATCAAATAAATATTAAGTGTTCTCTGTATCATTTTCCTCTCTTCCTTCCTTCCCAATTCTCCTCTGACTGCTTTCTTCCCCTGTTTCTTGGCACTCTCTCTCTCTCTCTCTCCAATGCACATATCCTCCTTTCAACACTATTTTCTCTGTTTCTCCTTCTGGACAAAGGGTTGGTGGTCTCTTGCAGTATATTATAATGTACGCATTGATTTGTAGGAAATACTTCACTTCCGTCTAAATTTCATGTCATATATTTTCAGGGAGCGGGTTCCTGAACCTGAGCACAACAACGCTGAGAAGAACACTGATTTTGAAAGGTAGGTTACTTATTCTGTTTCAATGGCTCCTAAAAATGGTTCTGAAATTATGAACTCAAATGCACTTAATGAACTCAGGGGGAACGACAAGAGTGCTCACCTCTTGAAAAGTGCTAGCATTAGTGCATCAAGGTGTCTTGGGGTAATACCAAAAGAGAAGTCTGAGGTAATTAATAGTATCCTTATTTCCTTGCGAGTCCTTTGAATGAATCACTCTTCTTACATGAAAGTTGATGCATTAAAGTGTGGTCGGCTTCTCAAATTTAAAAACAGGGACATATGTTACATTTAGAAATCTCAGATTTTTTTTAGTTTTAGATGATAATGGCAAACTCTTAGCTGCTAATATGTTATGTGATTATATGTTCTATCAGATATAAAAGAGAGACATATGTGATATGCGTCCTCTCATATATTTCTAAGCCTTTTCTTCCCTGGTGTAGAACTTAAAATCTTAAATCCCTAAGACATATTTGGCTTTATATTTGGCTCACAGCATAGGTTTGTGTAACATGAGATTAAGAAATCAAGTCTAGATTTGTTCTAAATTAGAGGTTTGCTAATTCATACGCTACATGAATCCAAATTACATCAGCTCTAGTTATATATATGAAATTTTCGAATCATAAACTCACAAACAAATCAAACACATGTTACACAAACCTAAACTAAACTTTGTATAACTCATCATCTCAATCTCGTGCATCATAAATCAAGCTTATTAAAACTGAGTCAAATATCTCTTAAAGGGATGAAAGTAAAATGGAAAGAACGGAACTCTGTGCATAAATATGGACCAAAAAGCAAAAGTTCTTTCTAAAGATTCCAACCGTCTGTTCTGATGCTCCTTTATGCACTAAAAAGATGTTATTTTCACAGACGGACGAAGGAAGTTCTGAAGCAAAAAATGAAGCAGCGGATGGCTCGTCTCAAAAGATCGCAGTCCTTCAGACTTGATTCCATGCGGATTTGTTACAGGAGGCAGAAGGTTTTGATTTGGCCACATTTACCTGGGAAACAGGTCTTTGATGAGCTAGATTTCACTATGATCACTTATGTTTAAAGTACGATATTAAAGTAGTATTTCATTGTATTATTTTGGCCCTCTTCCTTAAATTGTTGAAATATAGAGCAAACACGCCCTCTTGTAAATAATCTGTTATATTTGTATAGCTAACCTTCTATTGTAGTTTGTGCAGTCGACACATTCACACAATAAAGAGATCTTTGCACTGTTTATTGGGAGTGGTAAGAAATTTCATAACAGAGCAGACGACGACGAAACGTCGTCTCCTGTATTGTAGAAGTACTTTTTGAATTGTACTTTTTTTAACTAGTATTTTCAGAGTCAATAAGTACTTTTTTAACTACCATGAAAATAGAGTTGTATTCCATATTTTCAAATGTGTTTGATAGCATATATGAAAATTGAATCTTAATTTGAAATGATAATAATAATTATTAAGGTGTTTTGTAATATATTTGTAAGTCATTAGTTACCTACTAAATATTTAGTTTAATCTAAAATATTATTAATTACCTTATTAACATAAATGTATAAATTTTGTTAGAATTAGTATTTTACAATATTATATAATTTATAATATATTATATTTTACACATTTTAATATTAACAAAAATGAAATAATATATTTATAAAAAATATATATATTTTTAAATATAATATTGAAAATATAAAAAAAGTTGTTATTACCAGTTGGATTAAAGAATTGGAAAATAGTTTTGGAAACAATCTTGTTTGCCAAATAATGCTCAAGATTTCGTGTAGGAAGTTAGTTGATTGAAGCATTTGGGTTAAAACTACTTCCAAAAAAGAAAGAATGAAAATACAAAATCAAAATCAAAATCAAAATCCATAATTTAAAACACTTGGAAGAAGAAATTGCCAAGAAATATCTAGTACCAGCTTTCCAAAACGCTGAAATCATCACTATTGAAAAAATGCCTCCATATACGTATAGCTAAATATATAGAGTGAAAAGAGGATGAATTCTTTGTTTGCTGTGTATTGTCATTGGGAGAAAATTAGAAAATTGAATCCACCCCATTTTGACCACTTTTCATTAAAAAAATATAAGATTAATTAATTACCCAAAATTTCTCATATCTTCTTCTTTTACAACCAATCACTGAAAGGTCTCCTAGAGAAATGATTCAGCGTTAGGTGATTTTACTTACCCACCTAATCTTGGAAGATTCAGTTATTTTGGTCATCTAAATTCATTATAATCACTTCTTGACCATGCCCATTTTAATTTCCTAATACTCGTTCTAATCCTAATATCACCCTATTTGATATCCATTTTCTTTTCAATTTTTTATTTTTGAAAATTAAGTTTTTTAACGTTACTTCTCCCCATTTATTTATTTATTTTTTTCATCTACCTTTTAAAAATATTTTCGAAACCTAAGCTAAAATTTGAAATTTAAAAAAGTAGTTTTCAAAAACTTATTTTTGTTTAAGATTTGACTAAGACTTCAGACGTATTTCTTAAGAAAAAAAAAATTAAAACATACTAAAAGAAATTTAATTTTAAAAAATAGAAAACTAAATAAGAAATGAATTTTCATTTAAGAGATTTGGCATATTAACATACAAATAATTTTAACGATATGGCAGTCAACTGGAGTAGGTACAATAAGATGACTTTTAAATAATTGGTTTAACGTAAGTTTATGTTCGATCATATAAAGTAAATATATTTTAAATCTTTTTTTAATAATAATAATAGATTTATTTTTAAATGAAAATTGCAAAAGCAAGTAGAGAAGTTCATACGTATTAATGCACTGCAGAACTTTTTCAGACTGAAATTTTTTTTCTCATGCAATATTTGAACGTTCATGAACAAGAAACAAACAGAGACCAAGGCTTTTTTTCGAAAGAAGTATTATAGAGTTCTAAACTTATTAGGAAAATATAGTTAACTTATTCTAAAACATATTAGGAAAACAAAAAATTTTCTTTAACATCACTCGAAAAGATCATATTTGTTGTAACAAAAACTTTACTACATGACTTGAGTGATTCTTAGTGTTTGGTTTCATTGACTCTTCTTTCAACTTATTTCATGCTCAAGGGTTCCACTTAAAATAATACTCTCTGATCCTCATTTCTTAGATAACGCTAACATTATACTTAGAAAGATAAAGATGAACTCAAACACCAACCCACTTCTATTTTGGGTCTTGATTTTTCCACACCAACAATCGAGTTCTCTGCATGAAGTGACAAGAGGACACAAATAAAACTTATAACTTTCTACAAAGTTAGTAATAAGGATTCTAATTTCATGGCAAAATGCAATAAGAGAATCAATAATATTTCATCAGTGGATACATGATGCAGCAGCCAAACACCTAATCTTCATATCATTAAATCTAAAACCAACCAATTGACATTTACCCACAAATTGATTTCAGCAATTAACCCCACTTTTACACCAACCCCCACAGCATCAAAAAGAAAAGCACTGACTGTGCCAATGACTGCAGAATGTGAGTTCTAAAATTGCCAAACTAGTGGTGGTTTTTCTAGTATATATATGTTGTTATATAACTGGCTTTGAAGAGTGTTAAAAGATTTGGTAACAATGGCGAGCCTCAGCCACCAGCACTGTGGGATACTGCTACTCGTAGTCATATGCATAATCCTTTCATATTTTGTACCATCCAACTTTGCTTCTCCAGTCACTCGACGCTTTCAGTTTAATGTAAGCTTAATAATGAAAACTCCACACCTATTCGGGTGCATATCTTACAGTTATTTTATTCTAAAAGATGATGGATCTTTTTGTGAGATTATTGTGTCATTGGATTGCCATTTTTAACTGAAATAGTATCATTTTCTTTACCATAAGGTGGAGCGGAAGAAGGTGACAAGATTGTGTCATACAAAGCAACTTCTAACAGTGAATGGACAGTATCCAGGGCCAACCATTGTTGTCCATGAAGGTGATGCTGTTGAAATCAAGGTCAATAATTGCATAAACGAAAATACAACCATTCATTGGTAAGTTTCTAACATGTTATAGTACCCATATAATTAACCTCTAATACAGGAGAAGACATTGTTTGCCAACCCAATGAAATAAGGAAACATTCACTCCACACGTTTAAAGTTAGAAACTTTGAGTTTTTAACTACAAATAGTAAGTTTTAGAAGTATTTGAGTTTTTTAGCTTGTATTAAGTTTATAATGGTGAATGGAATTAACAAATCTATAGTGATCTGCAGTAAAAAGTTTGAGTTTTCGACTTTGAGGTAGATAAATCTAATCCCTAGGCTCTCTAACAAATTTGACAATTTGCAGGCATGGGGTGAAGCAACTAAGAACGGGATGGGCAGATGGTCCAGCTTACATAACACAGTGTCCTATCAGAACAGGTGAATCATACACATACAAGTTCTCAGTGATTGGCCAAAGAGGGACACTGTGGTGGCACGCACATCACTCATGGCAACGTGCTTCTGTGCATGGCGCCTTCATCATCTACCCTCGCATGCCTTACCCGTTCTCCTCTTCTCCCATTCAAGCTGGAATTCCGATTATCTTTGGTAGATCCCTTTCACTTACTTAAGATAGTTTGGTTAAATAATCTAAAGAGACTTTTGAAATACTAAAAACACAGAAAAAAGAACGTTCTAGTTAATATTTCTTTCAAAAGTACCTCTTTTTTTGCTTAGAAGTATTTTTCTCAAAAGTCATTCCGAACTTATCCTTCATCACTTCAAGACATCTCTCTTCACGTGTGGTTAAGTCTCAAAGATGATATTTTGACTTATTTTCTAATATGGGTTTCACAAACTACAGGGGTTTGAAAGTCAATATTATATTGGGGTACGACTTTTAGATGTTTGGTTTGATGGGTTATCAGAAAAGTGAACGATTGGTGATTTGTGATGAACGAACCGTTATTTTATGTATTATATACATTTTTGACCCCACACACACAGGTGAATGGTGGAATGGAGATGTGGAAGAAGTTGAAAGTGAGATGCTGAAATCTGGAGGTGGACCTAACATTTCTGATGCCTATACCATAAATGGCTTACCAGGACCTCTTTATCCTTGCTCAGCCAAAGGTACTATCATACTTCACTTTCAATAGACTATATATACTCTGTTTCCTTCTAATTTTTCCTCTAATCTTCCCCACGAATTATCTAAACATCGATCTAACACAAACATAAACATAATTCAGCAATCAAGACTGTCTCTAACAAAAAGTCACCAGATCCAGCATAAAAACATTTTATAATCACTTTGACTATTCATCATATATATGTAATAACATGATATATAAAACATCATTTTCTGCATCAAACGATAAATATTGCAGATACTTTCATTTCAACAGTAGAAAGAGGGAAAACTTACCTGCTGAGAGTAATCAACGCAGCACTCAATAATGAACTCTTCTTTGCCATAGCCAATCACACATTAACAGTGGTGGAGATTGATGCTGCTTATACAAAACCCTTCAATACCACAGCCATCATGATAGCCCCTGGCCAGACCACCACTCTTCTGCTCAATACGGACCAAATTCCAGACTCCTCAGGAATGTTTCCAATGGCAATCACACCCTATGTAACTTCAGTTTTTCCCGTCAACAACTCCACCTCCATCGCCTTCTTAAGATACAACACCAGAAAAATGAATAAAATTAACTCAGAAACAAAGTTCTCATCCAATCAAATACCTGAAAACCTCCCTGAGATGAAGAATACGGCCTTCGCCACTGCATTTTTTAACAAACTCCGGAGCCTCGGATCTGCCCTGTACCCATGCAATGTTCCTAAATCAGTTCAAAACAGAGTAATCACAACGATAAGCCTCAATCTTCAAGATTGCCCATCGGGTAAAACCTGCAAGGGTTTGAATGGGAAGAGATTTTTTGCTTCGATGAACAATCAGTCCTTCGTCCGGCCGGCTTTGTCGATATTGGAATCTCATTACAGGAAGATAACAACCAACTCCTACTCCTCTGATTTCCCAAAAAGACCGCCGAAAGTTTTCGATTACGCTGGAGTGAACCCACTGACCAAAAACATGAACGTGAAATTCGGGACGAAGCTTTTGGCGGTTCCCTACGGAACAGAATTGGAAATCGTGTTTCAGGGCACGAGTTTTCTGAATGCGGAGAATCATCCCATCCATGTCCACGGGCACAATTTCTTTGTTGTGGGGACGGGATTTGGGAATTTCGACGTGGCTAGGGATCCGGCGAAATACAACCTGGTGGATCCGGCGGAGAGAAACACGGTGGCGGTGCCGAGGGGGGGATGGGCGGCGATCAGAATTAGGGCAGACAATCCAGGGGTTTGGTTCATACACTGTCACCTTGAGCAGCATACTTCTTGGGGTCTAGCGATGGGCCTCATCGTTCGAAACGGCGCCGGGGAATCCGAATCTTTGATTCCTCCGCCCGAAGATCTTCCCCCCTGCTGATAGAAATGTTTTGATACTCTGTAAACTGAGACTATGTAATGGAATAATGTTTTGAGAAGCCATTTTTGAGCTCAAGCAGCAAACTGAAGCCTTCGTACAGTATCTGGCACGAAGCAGCAGCAGCAGCCATTTCTAACTGGAAAATGGACATTTAATTTCAATAAGATTTTTCGAGACTACATTGTTAGATATTAAAATTAAAGCATTAAATTGTTACCCAAAAAAAATCTATAGATCTCCAGATGAGATGAAGATCTAACAAGATTTTTTTTTTAATTCTTAAACTAATCTTTAGTATATCGTCCATTACTATGATTCTCTGATTTGGTCTTTATGATTTGAAATTTATTCTAAACAGAAGAAATTTAAAAATTTTAAGGCTAAATTTGATAGCTGAAAATGTTTAAATTAAAAGATTGAATTATACGATGATAAATAAATATCGTGTTTCGTAATCATCTTAATTAAACAAGAACCAAAAATGTTTATGTTTTATGTTCTTTTTCCCAAAAAAAAATGTTATTTGCTTTTTAAACCATTTTCAAAATCAAATCCGAAATTCAAAGACTCAAAAGATGTAATTTTTTTTTTTTTAAACGCTACCTCCAACTAGGGTTTTTTTTTTCTCTTGAATCATTTTTCAAATTCTAAGCCTTAAAAATCAAAACAGTTTTATTTTTTAGTTTAGATAAAGATTGAAATGCATTTTAAAGAAAATGATAAACATACCAAATAATTTATGTTTTAGTCATAGGAAAAAAAATCGAACAAAACCACCAAAATTATCTCAAAATAAAATATGAGTGAGTAGGAAACATGGATGGTAGATATAAAATAAAGAAAATATGTGGGATGATGAGATAAATAATTCAAATGCATGTAGGTATGAAATAAAATAAAAAAATAAAAAGAATTAATGAGAAGAGGAGAATCTTGGCAGGTTGGATGACCATTAATTTCTCAGCATCTGTTCGATGAGCTTCAATTCACAGCTACCTAATTTCCAGAACAAAACAAACAACAAAACAACCATTTCCTCTCCCTCTAACAATCTGTGGACTCTTCAAAACCCCGTTCAATTTCTACTACCCTACCCTACCCTACCTTACCTAGTATCGTATTTATTATTCAACACCGTCTTATTTCATTTCACGGTATTAAATTTTCATCGATATTTCTATGTGTTCATGAGTTCCACGTCGCTGATTTTCAAAGTATTGCAAAATAATCGACAAAATATCACTAATATAGACATAATATTGATATTGATGTGTTATTAAGTTATTGTTTTATTAAAATATTTAGATACTTGTGCATGCCAACATGGACATACATCGCTTGGAAAAATTTAAATTTTATTGATCTGATGAGATTTTTCTATGAACAGGTTAGATTTTATGTGTCAAATGATATTCAAGCGACATGTTCAGGTGTCTAATTATGTTATTGTCCACAAATTTTAACAATTTGTTGAATTTTATTTTTTGATCCGTTTGACCAGATGTGGGATGAGAAGTTGAAATTCTAACTGGCAGAAGATATATATATCTATCTATCTATCTAGGGCAACCACTTCTTCCCCTGACTGTTAGCAGGTTGAAAAGCTCTTTGGAGAACAGGGGCACAGATGTCAAACCCTCACTGATACGAATACAGACTAAAAAACTCTCATACCGTTTGGAACTAAAAAACTCTCATACTGTTTGGAGGGTAGGGCACACAGAAGGCACAGATGTCAAATCTCCACTGATACTGAGTACAAGTTCCCATACTGTTTGGAGGGCAGGAGGCACACAGATGCCAAACCCCCCACCAATACGAGTAGGTCGATTACCCCTTAATTAAACCGTCCCTTAATTAAATCGTATGTACAAGATAGTTGTCACCTATCTGACTTCACTTCTTTTTCTGGTTCAGGGGGTTTGTGGTACCTGTTGTCCACCCTAACGACAGAGTGGGCTGCTATAACAACTGAAATTTGTGAATGGATGACTTTTAGTTGCTACTGCTCGACGATTCTCCCCCTAAATTAAAGTGGTGTCTGGGTCCTGAACCCAACCTGAAAACGAAAGAGGATAATAGGAACCAGTTGAGCTATATTCAAGTTGGCATCAAATTGCGAAGAAAAGAAAACCCGAAACCAGGAAGGAAGATGGTGAATGCTGCCACGTGGTGAAAGAAAAGGAAGGGATGGTGGTTGTAGGTCTAAATTGGCCTCACACGTGGTAGAATTGTGGTGCATGGTCCTATATGGAGAGCACAGATCCCTATGCTTTTTCACTGCCCATATAAATCGCCCCACTGGCTGCTACTTCATCCTCACCCCAACGTCACAAACACCAAACTATTCCTTAATCTATACACTGCGCTGCGCCCCTTTCTCCTTTATCCTCCTCTCTATCTGTTTGTGGCGCTAGCCTTTGTGATCTCTCATGGCTATGTCCGTGGACCCTCTGGTGGTCGGCCGAGTGATCGGAGACGTGGTCGACATGTTTGTGCCAACTGCTAACCTGGCAGTCTACTTCAACTCCAAACATGTTACTAATGGTTGCGACATTAAGCCTTCTCTTGCGGTTAACCCACCAAGGCTCGTCATTCCGGGCCATCCTCGCGACCTTTACACTTTGGTATAATTTTCATCTCTCATGAACAATATTTTACTACTGACTGGAACTTGACAGTGGATATCTCATTTTAACGTGGATTACTGAATATTTGACGAGTAAAAAAGAGAATTTTTATCTCTTGTATAGTTAATTCAACATTTCAATTTGCATGGACAGACCGAAAAATCTAATGTTTACTAGTAAATGAGAGAAACATTACGAGAAAAGAACTATTAGAGTGTTTATTTTTTAAGAAAGTAAACATTTGCCGGAAAGAATTTAGTAGTGGACAACAATATTCTTCTCGTATTAAATCTCTTCTGTAATGTAATGTGATTCTGGTTATTATGATTTGTAGGTGATGACAGATCCAGATGCTCCGAGTCCTAGCGAACCTCATATGAGAGAATGGGTCCATTGGTAATCAGCTTTATTTTCTTTCTTCTTCTTCGTTTTTTGTTTCTTGCTCTCTAAAACTATGTCTTCAATATATGTTTCTCGATTGTTTTACACAATTTATTTTGCATGGGTTCATGCAGGATAATTGTAGACATTCCCGGAGGCTCAACAATGACCCAAGGTAAGAAACTATAAAGTCAGAGAAATTTGTATAACTTGTATTCAAAGAAAAATAAATTACTTTTCTTCTTTGAATCGTCTTGAAAAAAAGAGAAGTATGTATTCGCCCCATTTGAAGAACCTGTAATATTATCTACTACTTCCAAGAATCCCTTAAATTGCATGTCTCTCGAGATTTCAAAAAAAAAAAAATTCCAAACTGTGAACACTGTCAAAAACACCTCATTTTTTTAACTTCGTTGGTTGGGTCATGTCCAAGTTTGCATTTTTATGGCTTGGTCGACACGTTTTATGCTTAAAAACAACCTCGGATATCGCCACACATCTACGTGGCTTTGTGCGACGTTATTTCTCAAATTAAATTTCAATTTGATCCTTATAATTTTAATCAAGCAATTGAATTTAGTTTCAGTTTCAATAGTCTCTCTAATAGAAATCTTACCAATCGCCTCTAAACTATTACTTTGTATAGTGATGAGTTAAGATATGAAGTTAATGTTTATTTGTGGACAGGGAAGGAGATTCTGCCGTACACCGGCCCACGTCCACCCATCGGAATCCACCGCTACATCCTTTTACTGTTCAAGCAAAAGGGTCCTGTGGGGTTGATCGAGCAGCCACCGAGCCGCGCAAACTTCAGCACTCGCCTGTTTGCTAGGCACCTCGACCTGGACCTGCCGGTGGCGGCCACCTACTTCAACTCTCAGAAGGAACCAGCCACCAAAAAGTACGCAATGTAGATCTGAACCAAGTAGTCAACCCAACCCAAAAAAAATGCAGTCATCCACGGCCAAAATATCCGAGTGGCCTGTGGGAAAGCAGCGTATATAAAGTAAATTGTGTGTTTTAAGAATAAGAGGGAGAGGGGGAACTTGGAATGTACTGCCATTACAACTTCTTCTTCGCTGATATCTGTATGTGTCTCTCCTGTGTTTCCTGTCGTTTATCTGTCGTACGTTGTAGTTTGTTTCAACATTGTAGTTTGTTTCAGAATGGGTTGATGACATAATAATAAAATATATATGTAATAAGTTTTGTGGTGTTGCCTTCACTATTTAAAAACCCTGTGACTGAGGGTAACTGCATCATATAATAATAGTAAATGTCACTACTTCAGTATTTGGTTTGGGTGTTTATGCCATTTAGGCTACGGCCCTATAACCATGGTCGATCAGAATAGACCACGACTAATGTTGTTTGTAGTCTACGGTATAATAAGCACAGCTAACGTTAATTGTGGTCTATATTGCTTTTTTTTTTCTTGAGAAAAACATAATATGCCATATACGATAGACCACGATAATTGTTAGCTGTGGTCTATACGCACAGCTAACATTAATTGTGGTCTATATTGCTTTTTTTTTCCTTGAAAAAAAACATAATATGCCCTATATGGTAGACCACGCTAATTGTTAGCTATATATGATCTATACGATATACAACATTGGTCCATTTATAATGCAAGAAGCCCAACTTTAACAAAAATTAAGATCGTATCGTTATCTAAATGAATTTTCAATTGACACAAACTATGCTAACTTTGAGAAAAACAAAACTTTCACAAACTTTTGTATTAAATAAAGTGTAAATTTCCACAATATAGAAGTAAATTACTCAAGCTAAGGAATTAACTAAAACTATTAAACATTATATTATATCATGCAGAGATGTGTTGTTGACATTCTGTCGATTTCAGCTTGAGTATATGTCTTTTATACTAAACTGCAAGATGGAAGAAAGATCAGAGAGAAAAATATAAAAATAATATCATCTTAAAATAAGCAACTATATACATACCGACTTTTTGAGTGAAGTAGGTCTATTAATCCACCACAATAAAAAAGTATTCATTCGGTATCAAACCAACTCTTTGAGTGAATTATTGTGTTGATCTTAAAAAATATTGGCATTATAGCACTAGCAGGCAAAAGTAATTATGTATTCCTCTAACCATGAGACAAATACTACAAGCACTTTATCAAGCACTGCTACTGTAAAAATAAATTTAGAAGATAAAAGATAGTGCAGATGAATTCATCCACCTTTCATCATCCCAGAATAGGCAGCATCTGCTCTGCCGTAGCAAAAACATGAGGGCTGTCCATCATTATCTAATAGGCGATAATAATTTCAGTTCCTTGTTTAGCGTCTTTCAATGGATTGTCTGGGATCAAACTGGTCCATTACTCTGCAACAAGCAGCCCCAAAAACTGTAGAAAAACAGAACCACGATATATTTAAAGAAGACAAGTATTTGGTATACATCAAAACTAGAAACTCATATTCCAACAAAGAATTAACTAATAGCATAGCAGCAAATCCTGAAGAAAAATCAAAAGAAATGGAAAGATTTCAATTAGGTTTTAAACATTTAATAGATATCAAGAACGCAAAACAGAACACGAGCACCCAGATCCTGTAACAGCCTAACAAACAAATTTAATAAGCTTGCACTAGTTTTGCTAAATTCCCCTAAAATTCCAACCAAAACTATTTTAAGGGAAGAAAGGTACATTGTTTCTCTCGAGTTATAGTGATAGAACATCTCCAATTTTTTTTCTTTCAAAAAATTATAGTGATGCAACATAGGGTTTCAAATCTCTATCAATTTGTTCGAATTGTAATATTGTTTTAGACTTACAATAGTGTAATAGAGCTTCCGTCTCGCGGCGAAGTAGTCGGAGGAATCAGTGGCATCGGCAGAGAAGAAGCTTGTGGTCGTTGGATTGGTTTCCGCCAAAGTTACCGGAACCATTCTCCTTCCTCATTGCATCTTCCCTTCCATTGAAGCCATTAAGCGAGCTTAGGGCTGAAGGCGATTTGGGTTGGAGAGGGGAGATTTCGGGCTGACGAAGAAGACCGCGACTGATGAGCGATTTGGGCCTAAAATCGCCAGACAGCAACAGACGAGCGCGATTTAGGGCTGAATACGGCAAAAAGAAATTGGAGCTATGAAGAAGGGGATGTGTTTCGAACTAATCAACTAGATTAATTAATTTTAAAATTAAGTTAAAATAAATTCGTTTTCTTAACTCTTACATTCTAAAATTTAAAATTCATCTTTTTAAATTAAAAAAAATCTGTTTTTAAAATATAAAATTTATTTGTTAATTAAAATATAAAATTCAGCGAAATCTCGAAACAAACGACCACTGAATCTCGAAGAAGATGCACGAGAATCTAACCACACAAATAATGAAAATTAGGCTGATCAAATTTCAACCTAAAAGAAAAATAATTACTTTCTAATCTCTAAATTAAAATTCAACTTTTAAAATTTAGAATTGATTTCTTAATTAAATTTTAACTACGCTTTTCAATTTTCTTTAACTCTTGGTATATTACTTAAAAAAAACAATAGGTATATATTCAAATTTGGATTTATGATATAATTTTAAAAATTCATCTAAAACATCATTATTTATAATTATTCTTTTTGATATAATTTTGATACTAGAAGCAAACATTAGCTTGTGTAATTATCATCTACTCCAATTGGTTGTACTAAAAAAAATGGATTGGAATTTAGACTCAATTTTTTTCTGATTATTAATAATTAAATCATGTTTTTTTAAGATTAGTTATTAATTGAATATAGATAATATAATTAGTTAACTATATGTAATCCAATCATATTAGTTAAACTAATATATTAATTAAAAATTGTACCTTCGTGTGCTGACTTTTGACTTGTGGGATCCAAGATCCAAGTTCGAGCCCTCCTATGTCCAGAAGTCAAAAAAATATATATTAATTATAAATTTTTGTATAAGTATTAATTACTAATTGTTGGGAGTTACTTATGATAAATTATTAATTAATAGAATAATCTCACCCAATAAAAATGTAATATAATACAATCCTATGAAAAATTTGACAACATTCTCATACACAATAAAATATTGTCACTTTTGGTAGGTGGACGAATGCTCAAAATCTATATAGAGAGAGAAAATGTTCTCCAACGGCTCAGCCTTTACGAGGACACATACCACCATCGATCAGCTCGACCAAGAAAGGTGGTCGAGGTGCCTATTCGTCTTAATATATATATGTTTTTACGTTGTAAACCATTATAATGACATGCACTTTTCGACGACTCCATTTAAGATATGGCGCTTGATAAATCACCCCAACGGTAACACCTGTATCTTTTGAAACTTTAAACCAAAGTAGAGTTGGGAGCGCAAATTACTGGTGATGGTGGGGGCTAATGAGTGGAATTCCACATTGGGGCCGGGGGTACTGTGTGTAGGAGTTAGGGTTTGAAAAATTGAATGCTCAAAGATTTAGAGGTGTTTGATGGTGAGGACTGAGGGAAGCCAAGCCATTAATGAAAAAGAAAAGTCTCCGCCCGGAAATTGCCTCTCTCACAGTCACAGTCATAGCTCAAGACAATTCGTAGTGGCCTGCCCGGCCCCCGACACTCACTATTATTGAGACCGCCGTCCAGCTTTTGGCCCACTACCATTTTCTTCCGCAGATTCCATTTTTATTTACCTTTCATTTAGGATCTAAATTATTAATTGCATACAATCATCTTCAAATTCTAATTTATAAACCATTTTCTTTTATTATTTCTCAAATTAATTAAATTTATTCAACAGATTCGTGTGTAAGTTACTCAAATGTTGATTTTATAATCATCTTTCTACAAAATTTAAAAATATTTACTAACTGTATTTACCATTTTTTTTCTTTTCTGACTAGTAGACACAGAGGTCTAAATCTTGAATGTCAACACCCAAACTTTTTGTCACTGCACCAACACCCGATGGTGCATTCAGTTACCATTTTTGTTTCAAAGCTCTTGCATTTTTTTTTGTTTTAATATACGTAATAAGAAACAAGCAAATATTTTTCGTGGATTAGATAAATTATAAATAAAAGTAATATGACAAATAAACATTACACCAAAAATATCAAACGAAGAGATATGTCAAAAGATGCCCCAATCGTTATTTTCTTGTGGGCCCCATTTGGTATGGACAGTTTTTTCTTTTTATCTATAAAAAAAAGCTCTGAGCTCTAAGCTCTATCACTGCCACTGCCACTTCTTCTTCTCTGAGAGTG